ATAAGAGCCGTCACATGGAAAATATATATGCACACCCATGTACATTGTAGCACTGTTCACAATAGCAAAAAGATAGGAACAACCTAGGTGCCTATCAACAGACAAATGGATAAACAAATTATGGTATATTCACACAATGGAATACTACACAATGCTAAAGAACAACAATGAATCTGTGAAACATCTCATAACATGGATGAATCTGGAAGACATTACGCTGAGTGAAATTAGTCAGTCAAAAAGAACGAATATTGTATAAGACTAGTATTGTAAGAACTCAAGGTTTAAACACAGAAGAAAACATTCTTTGATGGTTACGAGAGTGGGGAGGGAAGAAGAGGGGTATTCACTAACTAGATAGTAGACAAGAGTTATCTTAGGTGAAGGGAAGGACAATACACACTACAGGGGAAGTCAGCACAACTGGACTGAATACAGTCAGACACTTCGAGGGACAGAGTAACAGGGCAGGGGTCTTGGGACCATGGTTTCAGTGGACATCTAGGTCGATTGGCCTAACAAAGTTTATTAAGAAAATGTTCTGCATCCCACTTTCGTGAGTGGCATCTGGGGTCTTAAAATCTAGCGAGCAGCCATCTAAGATGCATCAGTTGGTCCCAACCCACCTGAAGCAAAAGAGAATGAAGAACACCAGAGACACAAGGAAAATATTAGCCCAAGAGACAGAAGGGGCCACATAAACCAGAGATTCCATCAGCCTGAGCCCAGAAGAACTAGATGGTGCCTGGCTACCACCCATGACTGCCTTGACAGGGATTAGAACAGAGAGTCTCTGATGGAACAGGAGAAAAGTGGGGTGCAGAACTCAAATTCTAGTAAAAAAACAGACGTAATGGTCTGACCGAGACTGGAGGGACCCCAGAAGACATGGCCCCCAGACTCTCTGTTAGCCCAAAACTGAAACCATTCTCGAAGCCAACTCCTCAGACAAAGATTAGACTGGATTATAAGACATAAAATGATACTCGTGAAGATTGTGCTTCTTAGTCCAAGTAGATACATGGGACTAAATGGGCAGATTCTGTCCGGAGGCAAGATGAGAAGGCAGAAAGGGACAGGAGCTGGTTGAATGAACGCGGGAAATATGGTGTGGAAAGGAGGAGTGTGGTGTCACATCATAGAAATTATAGCTAGGGTCACCTGACAATATGTATATAAATTTTTGTATGAGAAATTAACTTGAACTGTAAACTATCACTTAAAGCACAATTAAAAAAAAAAAAGAAGACGTACAGCCAGAGTGTTCCTTAGGAGGAAGGTCGGCAAGACTTCATCTCATATACTTTGGAGATGTTATCAGGAGGGATCAGTCCCTGGAGAAGGACATCATGCTTGGTAAAGCAGAGGATCAGCAAAAAAGAGGAAGACCCTCAACGAGATGAGTTGACACAGTGATTTCAACAATGGGCTCATCATAATGATTGTGAGGGCGTTGCAGGATCAAGCAGTGTTTCGTTATGTTTTACACAGTTGTTATGAGTCAGAACTTACTCTGCAACACCTAACAACAACAAGAATAGTGGGTGTCAAGTGGTATCTCATTGTGGTTTTTAGTAGCATTTCCCTAATGACTGAAGACATTGAGCATCTTTTCTTGTGCTTATTGATCATTTGTATGCCTTTGGGTAATTGTTCAAGTCCTTTACCCATTTTTTGATTGGATTGTCTTTTTGTTGTTGAGTTGTAGGAGTTCTTTATATATTCTAGATATTAAACCCTTATCAGATATATGGTTCCCAAATATTGTCTCCCATTCCGTAGATTGTCTCATCACTTTCTTGGTGAAGTCCTTTGAGATACCAAAACTGCATTTTGATGAAGTCATTTATCTATTTTGTCTTTTGTTGCTCATGCTTTTGGTGTTACATCTAAGAATGCCTTGTCAAAAACTAGGTCTTGAAGCATTACCCCTATGTTTTCTTCTGAAAGTTTTATGGTTTTAATTCTTGTATTTAGGTAATTGTTCCATTTTGAATTAATTTTCATAAATGGTATGAGGTATGGGTCCAATTTCATTCTTCGGCATGTGGAGATCCAGTTGCCCGAGTACCATTTGTTGAAGAGACTATTCTTTTTCCAATGAATTGGCCTGGTACCCTTGTCAAAAATCAACTGACCATGGATGTATGGGCTTTATTTCTGGACTCTCAGTTCTATTCCATTGGTCTGTATGATTACCCTTATTCCAGTACCACACTGTTTTGATTACTGATAGAGCTTTATAGACTGTGTTGAAACCAGAGAGTACAAGTCCCCTACTTCATTGTTTTTCAAGATTGCTTTGGCTATTCAGGGCCCTGTGCCATTGCATATGAATTTGAGAATTGACATTTCTATTTCTCCCAAAAAATGCTCCTGGAATTTTGTTAGGGATTGTGTTGAATCTGTAAATCTCTTTGGAGAGTATTGATACATTAAGTCTTCCACTCCATGAGCACGGGATTTCTTTCCCTTTATTTAGGTCTTTCTTAATTTCTTTGAGCAATGTTTTGTATTTTCAGTGAACTAGGCTTTCACCTCCCTGATTAAATTTATTCCTAATTATTTTATTCTTTTAGATGCAGTTATAAATGGAATTGTTTTCTTAATGTCTTTTTCAGATTATTCATTGTTAGTATATAGAAACACAACGGATTTTTGTGTGTTGATCTTATACCCTGTGGCTTTGCTAATTTCATTTATTAGCTCTAGTAGCTTTCTTGTGAATTCTTTGGGATTTTCTATATAATCATGTCATCTGCAAATAGAAATAGTTTTACTTCTTCTTTTCCAATTTGAATACTTTTTCTTTCTTTTTTTTTTTGTCTAATTGCTCTGGCTAGAACTTCCAGTACAATGCTAAATAGCAGTGATGAAAGCAGGCATAATTGTTCCTGATCTTAGTGGGAAACTTTCAGTCTTTCACCATTGAGTATGATTTCAGCTGCAGGTTTTTATAAATGCCTTTTTATCGTGCTGAGGAATTTTCTTTCTACTTCTAGTTTGTTCAGTGTTTTTATCAGGAAAGGGTGTTGGATTTTGTCATTCCTTTTGTATACCAATTGAGATGGTCATGTGGTTCTTTTCTTTTGTTTTATTACTTACTATAATGTTCTATATATTAGGAGCCCTGGTGGCACAGTGGTTAAGAAACCCGGCTACTAACCAAAAGGTCAGCAGTTCAAATCCACCAGCCTCTCCTTGGAAACCCAATGGGGCAGTTCTACTCTGTCCTACAGGGCCGCTATGAGTCAGAATTGACTTGACAGCAACGGGTTTGGTTTGTTTTTTGTTCTATACATTGACTGATTATATTGACCCACTCTTAGTTTTCTGGGGTAAATCCCCCTTGATCATGGTGTATAATGCTTTTAATGTGCCGTTGGATTTGGTTTGCTCATATTTTGTTGAGGATTTTTGCATCTCAGTATAAGAGATACTGGTCTATAGTTTTCTTTTCTTATGGTGTCTTTATCTGGTATTTGTATCAGGGTAATAGTGGCCTTGTATAATAAGTTAGATAGTATCCCTCCACTTCTGTTTTTTGGAAGCGTTAAAGAAAGATTGATGTCAATTCTTCTTTAAATGTCTGGTAAAATTCCTCAGTGAAGCCATGTGGTCCAGGACTTTTCTTTGTTGGGAGGTTTTTAATGACCGATTCAGTCTCTTGTTATGGGTCTGTTGAGAGTTTCTATTTCTTCTAGAGTCAATTTAAGTAGTTTGGGTGGTAGAAACGGTTAATATATTCTCCTGCTATATAAGTACATACATAGTAACCTCAGTTTTGCCTCTTGGTCCACAAAACTTAAAATATTTACCATCTGGGCCTTTATGTAAAAAAACTTTGTTGCCCCTGATCTAAAATCTTTTCACACTCACTAATTCTAATGATTTCAAAATATTTTATCTGTATATTCTTTTGGATTTCCCATGTACTTAATAATATATTGTTAATGAGAAATGACAGTTTTATTTCTTCTTTTCCAATTCTTTCACATATTTTTCTTTCCTTGCTGCATCTTAATTTCAATGATTCAGATTTTTCTTGGTTTCCTAGATGACTGGAAGCTGGGCTGCACTCCATGTAACGTTTGATTTATTCCTAGGGTACAACCGTCCAGAGTCCTAACTCGGGACACAAAAGTTTGTCTCCTTAGCTTGTAATAAGTGATACTTAGCCTCTTTAGATGGGCAAATATCCCCAGGACAAAAGTTGACTTAAATGCAGGACTGGCCACTCTAGATTTTGATCTTCTATATCTTAGCTTGGTTATTCTTTAACCCTTGTTATTTCTCTGATGCCTCAGCAGATTTTTATAAAATTTTGACCTGCTTTTCTAGTTCTGAGCTAGAGGCTTGGTCTGAATTACCTAGTCTGCCAACACTGGAATGAAATTGAGGAGCCAAGATTTAAACTAAATTCTCTCTGACTCCGAGGTCCACACTGTCGATAAGTGTCGCAGCGGCGGCAGTTGTCGGGACGGCGGAGACAGTAACCAAACACAACTCTTACAGAGAAGTGGGGCCAGGAGGGTCACTCTGAGGAGTTGACCCCGGCTTCAGTCCCGGGAGTTTATTTATAGTCAATACAGCAAGCAGTGAAGCAAATAACAGAACAGTGGGCTTTGGGTGCGAGCAGGGGAGAAGGAATTCAGGTAAACAAGCCAATCAGTAAAGGGACAATAGGTTTGGGAAAGCAAGTCGTGACAAGTCTCAACATGTTGGGGACAAGTCTCAACATGCTGTGCAGCATAGAGGCCTGTGGGGTCTGCAGTTGTCAATAGTGCAGCCATGTTTAAATGGCATATATCCCCACAGATAACCTACTACTATACTGCCTTGTGATTAAATCTAACCATATTAGTGTCCTAATACATTTTATGGAGCTTTAGACCTTAAAAATAAACATCATCTTATATTTTGTATTGTTCATACTTTTCAGGGCAGGTAATGTCACAAGTCAAAAATTTAAGCTTTGTATTCTATTTTTTGCTCTACAGGGAAGCAAATAAGCAACATGTGAGATGTCAGAAATGCTTAGAATTTGGACATTGGACTTATGAATGCACAGGAAAAAGAAAATACCTACATAGGCCTTCAAGAACAGCAGAACTAAAGAAAGCTTTAAAAGAAAAGGAAAACCGGTTATTATTACAACAAAGGTAAGTTTACATGTGGTATCCAAAGGAATATTATTTTTTTGTTTATGTTTATAGAATTCACTTAGGGACTAAGTGTCTCATAGTGGTTCTCCAGATTTAAATTATAATACTAGCTAATGTTAAATGAATGCAAGCTTCACATCTGTACTATTAAGATCAATACTGTTATTCACATTTTACACATGAAGAAACTAAGGCACAGAGAGGTTGAGTAACTTGCTCAGTGTCACATAATAAGTGAAAAAGTTAGATTTAAACCAATCAGCCTATCACCAGAGTCCATGCTGTTAATCATTGGGCTTTATTGCTTCAACTGCCACTGAAATGACAACAGAATCCTATGAAGTAGATTATATGAGCTGATGTGGAAAGTGCTCCAGGATACGTTAAGTATAAAAGCAAGGTAGAGAACAGTATATATGATAAATGCTATTATTTATTTTGGAAAAAAAAGGAATAATATTTATATTTGGATATGTAAATAATTGATAATAGTAGTTACTTCCTAGAAGGAGAACTGGGCAGGAAGGAGACTGGAATATTATTATTTACCCTTTTATGTCTTTTGAGTAAAGCTTTTTTAAATTCCTATGAAATAAGTAAGGAGACATGTTTTAGAGAAACTGAAGTGTGAAGGTCTTGGATCTACTTAGTGCTACAAATCAGACGAAACGGCATCTTCATAAGGACTGTTAGCTGTAATAATAGTGTCTTAAACATCTGGACTTGAAGGCAATTATCTTCAATTTGTGGACATGCCTCTTCAAAGGTTATGCAGAATGGATAGGTAATCAATTTGTAAATTATCAACTTTCATATAAAATATCAGAAAAATAAATCTGTATGAAAACTTGCCTACTGGTTCTCATTTTCCAGTTCCTCTTTCCCAATAGCTTTTTTCTAATTTCACAAAAGAAGGGCATACCTCTCACCTATGTCTAATCTTACCTTGGTGTATTGTCCTTGTGTGTAAAAACCTAGAGGATTTTTCAAAATACAAAGAGGGTATTTGTACTGAGAAAGTGAATAGCCATAATTATTGGGATTTTTTTTTTTTAAGTTTTTTCCTAATAAAATCAAAGGAGGACCAAATTGAGTTCTCAATTTAAAATACTTTTTAATCATAGATTAAAAAGTGAAATATAACATGGGAAGAGTTCAGAGAATTGAGTGACATTATTGCAATAAAAATTTTTCTATTCTCATCTACTTATTTAGATTAAAAAGTTTTCTGAGGCTTAAATCTATAAAAATTAAAAACTGATGCTGAAATTTACAAATACAATGCAATCCCAATCCACATACCAACAACATTCTTTAAAGAGATGGAGAAACTAATTAACTTTATATGGAAAGGGAAGAAGCCCTGGATAAGTAAAGCACTATTGAAGAAGTAGAATAAAGTAGGAGGACTTGCACTACCTGACCTCAGAACCTACCATACAGCTACAGTAGTCAAAACAGACTGGTACTGGTACAACGACAGATACGTTGACCAGTGGAACAGAATTGAGAACCCAGATGTAAACCCTTCCACCTACGGTCACCTGATCTTCAACAAGGGCCTAAAGTCCATCAAATGGGGAAAAGACAGTCTTTTTAACAAATGGTGCTGGCAAAACTGGACGTCCATCTGCAAAAAAATGAAACAGGACCCATACGTCACACCATATGCAAAAGCTAATTCAAAATGGATCAAAGACCTAAATATAAAGCCAAAAACTGTAAAGTTCATAGAAGAAAAAATAGAATCAATGCTAGAGGCCCTAATGCACGACATTAACAGCATACAAACCATAACCAACAACACACAAACTCCAGAAGATAAGCTAGACAACTGGGGTCTTCTAAAAATTAAACACTTATGCTCATCAAAAGACTTCACCAAAAGAGTAAAAAGAGAATCTGCAGACTGGGAAGAAACTTCTGGACATTGCAAGTCAGACAAAGGTCTTATCTCTAAAGTCTGTAAGAAAATCCAGCACCTCTACAACAAAAAGACAAATAATCCAATTAAAAAATGAGAAAAGGAAATGAACAAACACTTCACCAAAGAAGACATTCAAACGGCCAACAGACACATGAGGAAATGCTCGAGATCGTGAGCCATTACAGAAATGCAAATCAAAACCACAGTGAGATACCATCTCACACCAGCATTTCTGGCATGAATCAAACAAACTGGAAATAACAAATGTTGGAGAAGCTGCAGGGAGATTGGAACTCTTATGCACTGCTGGTGGGAATGCAAAATGGTACAACTATTTTGGAAAATGATATGGCACTTCCTTAGAAGGCTAGAAATAGAAATACCAGATGATCCGGTAATCCCACTCCTAGGAATATATCCTAGAGAAATAAGAGTCATCACACAAATAAGACATATGCACACCCATGTTCATTGCAGCGTTGTTTGCAATAGCAAAAAGGTGGGAACAACCTAGATGCCTGTCAACAGATGAATGGATAAACAAGCTGTGGTGCCTACACACAATGGAGTATTACACGATAAAGAACAATGATGAATCTGCGAAGCATCTCATAACATGGATGAAACTGGAGGACATTATGCTGAGTGAAATAAGTCAATCACAAAAGGACAAATATTGTATTAGACCACTACTGTAAAAACTCATGAAAAGGTTTACACACAAAAAGAAACAATCTTTGATGGTTACCAGGGATGGAAGGGGTGGGGGGGAATACTAAATAGACAATAGATAAGTGGTAACTCTGGTGAAGGGCAAGACAGTACACAATACTGAGAAGCCAGCACAACTTGTACAAGGAAAGGTTATGGAAACTCCATAAACACATCCAAATTGGCTGAGGGACTGAATTGCTGGGTGGAGGGTTGTGGGGACCATGGTTTCGGGGAACGTCTGGCTCTATTGGCATAACATAGTTTATAAAGAAAATATTCTACATTCTACCTTGGTGAGTAGCGTCTGGGGTCTTAAAAGCCTGTGAGCAGCCACCTAAGATACTCTACTGGTCTCACCCCTTCGGGTGCAAGGGAGAATGAAGAAAACAAGATACAAGGGAAAGATTAGTCCAAAGGGCTAATGGACCAAAACTACTATGGCCTCCACCAGACTGAATCCAGTACAAGTATATGGTGCCCAGCTACCACCACTGACTGCTCTGACAGGGATCACAACAGAGGGTCCCGGACAGAGCTGGAGAAAAATGTAGAACAAAATTCTAACTCCCAAAAAAAGACCAGACTTACTGGCCTGACTGAGACTGGAGAAACCCTGAGAGTATGGCCCCCAGACACCCTTTTAGCTCAGTAATGAATTCACTCCTGAGGTTCACCCTTCAGCCAAACATTAGACAGCCCTATAAAACAAAACGAGACTAATGGGGCACAACAGTGCAGGGACAGGCACAAGGACTAGAAGGCAGGAGGGGACAGAAAAGCTGGTAATAGGGAACTCGAGTTCGAGAAGGGAGAGTGTTAACATGTTGTGGGGTTGTTAACCAATATCATAAAACAATATGTGTACTGTTTTATGAGAAACTACTTGTTCTGTAAACCTTCATCTAAAGTAGAATAAAATAAAAAAACTGATGCTGAACCCTGTCGCATGCTAGCAATATTTATCCATGGATACATAAACTAAGGAATAAAAGGCATGCCATTAAGAGATACATTTCCAATAGTTTTTTAATAACAGTTATTATATTTATAATATACTTTTACATTGTTTTAATCAATTGTACCCTAATAAATGTACCCTAATGATTGTATTGGTTACTCAGTTCAGAATTTTTAAACACCTTTAAAGCGTATGATCACAGGAAATTAAATACAATTTCAAGTTATGTGTATATTTTTATTGTGGAAAAGTATAAGTGATCACTAAAATTTTCAAGCATAAAAATATATTAGAAAACATTCAGTGTGGAAAATAGAATAAATATACAAGTTCAGAGAAGAAAAAGGACAATGTAAAATTACTGTTAAAAAATAAGCTTGCTCATGTATTTTTTTAAATTTTTTTTTT